TTTTAGATTTGGATTCGAAATTCGATTATATCTCTCAAAGTTTGTCCAATCTGAGGAAAGTGTTTCTCTGTTTACTTTCAGGGAACTATTGAGTTAACCTTATGAGCAGCATTCAAAACATCAATAAAAAACTTACTTGAAAATTTATAAATTCCTTAAACCTTTTAATATCCTGACCGGAAATTAATTAGCGTTGTAATCATATAGCGGTAAGGCTAATTTGGTCTACAAAATAATGTTATTCTGAACAGAAAGCGTGGATGGAACAGCGAAATAAATAACGTTTTTGTAGACCGCAATAATTCAGATGTAAGACTAAAACAGTAAAATAATGTTCAATGAATATATGGCATATATGGATATATATTATATTATTAAAAATCATTCTTTTGACAAGAATTTCTCCTTGTAAATACTAAAAAAAAAAAAAAAAACAAGTAAGCAGAGGCTATAGTCGTGCGGGCCGACCATTTGATACCCTACAACACTACAATATGTTAGAAGCCCCCTTATGTCCAAATTCATTTTGGAAGATTTCGCTTTTGAAATGATGTCATAGAGCACTGCCCAGATGACACTTAGCTCTTCGACCAGGGACATTTGATCAATACTTACGCACTCCATCGTGCTGTTAGCTGATGTGGTCTATTTTACAGCTACATATACTGTTCTTAACTCTCTTCAATTGCGTGAGCAGGAATTTGTATTTTGTTTTTGGTTCATTTGAACCCCTAAATATTTTGCGATCAACTCCACAAGCAAGAGGCCCCTCTGTATCACCAAATTTAAACGCATCTATATGATTTGCTTGTCTAGGAAATTTGGCTTTATTCATCAATGAAATCAGCATAAAAAACCAGAAGTTGGCCTTTTGTGAATTTCGGATATCGCCTGTAAGTAATGTTAGTGTTTTTACACACAAAAGTAGTGGTCCCTTCTACCCGCTGGCCTAAACTCTAACTTCCTTTGGATTCACTTTGTTAACTTTTTAACGGCTGCAAAATCAGGAACATTTTTAGTTGTTGGGCCATTTCAACCCCTAAATATATTGCGGACATCTTTGAAAATCATAGGCCTAGCCATTCTGAGCCTAACCCTACCCTTTTTCGTGAGGATAATTGTAATCTGTATATAATAAACCCAACATGTATTGTAAAATGAAAAAATATTACAAAATGTACAATTCAATATTATAAGTCAAATTGAAAAAAATCACATGCGATAAAAAATATGAAAAAAATAAAAAAATGTCGCAAAATACTACAAAATCTATATTAACATCATTATAGGCATCTTTTTATGCGACTTTTTTAGATTTTATATTTTTATGGTAAGAGGCATTCTGAATTGACAAAATTTGGCGAAATCGGTCAAGCCATTCTTGAGATATAAGCATTGTAGCTAACATCCCCTTCCTTAAATAAATACATTGTATATATTTTGCTTTTTATAACCGATATAACCGATATTTACTATCGGCATCTACGTAACGGTCAGAATTGACCTGTTCGTCTATTTGAGATTTCGCCGGTATTAGAAATATTCGCGATTAAGGGAAAATTTTATTTAACACAAATGTTGTGGCCTATTTCACCTACTAAATATTACCTGATGGAAGGCTTCTGCCCAGCCCTAAGCTTTAGCCCCATGCTAACTTTCGCTTCGATTGGTCTAAAATTGCGACCTGTAGAGCAACTTCAAAATCAGGAATTTTTTCAGTTTTTGTCCATTTCAACCCATAAATATTATGCGATCATCTCCAAAAGAAATAGGGTTCTATTCTGTTCTGTTCTGTTCTATTCTAGCCCCACCTCCATTCTAAATTTCGTGAAGATCGGACCATAATTGCGACCTGTAGAGTGATTACAAATTAACATGGACAGACGGACGGACGGATATACATAGCTAGATCGACTCAGCTCGGGAGATAGGAAGATCTATATATACTTTCCTATGTGGGAAACCAATATTTCGTGGTGTTATATAATTTTTGGCCCAATCAAACTTATAATACCCCCAACACATAGTGCTGTAGGGTATAAATATATGGATGAACCGCATTTTAGAGTAATATTTTCATACATTTAAATTCAGTAGGGATAAATCGTTATCTTTTAATTGACAGCACACGGCCTGGATGTCTATCGACCATAGTTCCTGATATTTCTCAGCATGCTTTCACTATGTACAATGTATGGCAAAAGTTGTAAATAGTTGGACAACATTTTCATAATCGTATATAAATGTTTATTATTTTGACTATAATTTACTTAAATGTAATGCATAAATTAAACCCTATTTCCTAATCAGCTTCAGTCATTACCTAGCACTTTCTATATCCTCCGCCATACAAAGTATGGATGTTATATTGATTTGGTTAGAATAGCTCCCCATATTTGGCAACATTTATTGAAAACATCTGAGCAAAATGTCGTTTAGCTAGACTGATTTCCACTGATGAAAGAGAGATTCTAAATCGGAGTAGAATTTCGTCGTGTTCCAGAATTGGTGAGGTCAAAAATGATTCCATTTTGTTAAACGGAAATATTACATACATAAATTCGCACATATTAAAATCACATTTTATTGTTGAAAAAGTACTTTGTGTGAGTTTGTGCAAACATCTCCAACAAATCATCATTTTTGAAAGATATATTCTTCATCAAATTTAGCTATTTTAAAGACCCTGCAATATTTCTCAAATTTTGTGATCAATTTTCTAACGGACTTTTTTCTATTTAATTTTCATTTTATATGGAATGTGCCCAAAGAAGAAATATTCTATACAAAATTTCTCTACAAATCTTAGAAAAAAACCACATATCTATTTACAATTGTTTTTATGAAAAATGCATTCAAAATTCATGTAAAATTCAATTCAACTAGCTGAACCCTGTGCACTTAGCTACCCCATTTGATTTTATTTGCTTCCAAAATTGTATATACGAATATTTGTTGGCTAAAAAAATAAAGCAAATTCAAAAATTTAAAAACATATTTATTGTAAAACTTTTATGCGTAAAAAAACAAATAACTCGGTCTACCAACACGTGAACATGCCAGGAACAGCTGGCCATGAGAAAAGCAGGGACATGACAAATTTAGTCCGCATACACGAAGGGTTTGCCTTTCGGATTTATTAATTTCATAGGAAATGCCAAGCGGGCATGAAACTGTAATCTTTTAAAATTGAAGAAGGTAGCAACATACTTCTCCGTAATAATGTTATTCTTAATTACATTGTTGTATAGTTTTCTACTGTACCATAATCTAATCTGAACCGATCATCTTGGGATATGAACCGATGTCAATATAATTTGACAAAATTTACTTTTACACAAAATTCCGTCACACCTTCCATATTTAATTGAAATGGGAGGTACATACCGTGTTTGGTGTATCAAATATGTGTTTGATGGAATCGGCCGAAATATATATATGGGAGGTATACTCAAACCTCAACTAATTTCACCATAATTTGGCATTTTTTTTTTGGTACCAAATTTCGTCACTCTGTTCTAATTTCATTGGAAGCCCGATTCAGCGTTGTGTGCATCAAATATGTAAAATCGGCCGAAAACATATATGGGAGCTATATCCAAATCTGAACCGATTTGAGTATAATTTGAAAAATTTACTTTTGCACCAAATTTAGTCACTCATGCCGAATTTCATTGGAATCGGAGATACCTATCGTGTTTGGTGCATCAAATCGAAATACCGAAAAAATATAGACAAATTCTATCACACATTCCAAATTTCATTGAAATGTGGCGCGTGTTAAATGTAACAAATACATGAAATCGGCCGAAAATCTGTACCGATTTCAATATAGTTTGCAAATTTATTTTTGTTCCAAATTCGGAAGCTGTATCTGTAATCGATCAATAGATATGTGCACATAAATTCTTATTTTTTTTTTGGGAGATACCTCCGATTCTAAAATGTATATAGCCTGTGCTACTTTCAGACGATGTTGTAGTGTATCGGAAATATTTAGGAAAATCTTTGCAGCGGTTTTTGAATCCATAAATTACAGACAAACAAACATACAAACATTTTCCTCTTTTATAGATATAGATTTGTAATTAATTTTAGTTAGTAAATACTCTTCTACATAATTTTAAAAGAGTTATCAGTAAAGATATTCACCAACGTTTAATTGCAAAGTAATTTCGAAATCATTTAACTATGTTTTCTGAAAATATGTTTTCCTCGATGTGTTCCAAATTTGACATTGGCCAATTTTTTCAATTTCTTGCAAATACGTATTGAACGAATCTGTTGAATATTACTGCAATACGAGGAGCCATTTATAAGTAAAATGTCTCCGCGTCCACGTATTATTAAAGCTGTTGAAAATTGTTATTGAATATCCAAATTTAAATTTGTTAACGATTAAAGTATTTTTGTAGTAAATGCTTAAAGTTGACTAAAATTATGAATGTACAATGACAGTTATAGGTATTAATAAAAAAGCATATATAAAAAGCGCATTCTTTATTTTTCCACGTCTTAACTATTTCTGTGATGGGTGCAAAAGTACGAAAAAATGTTGCAACGTTGGCACCTTTACTTGCCATCACCGATACGTAATTTCACCGTTTGCATGGAAATGTTCCATTTCTGAGGCACACTCTTCATTGAAATCATTTCAAAGAAAAGTCTTTATCTTAAGCAAACATACGTAGACATGTGTGTGTGTCTGTATGTGTGTGATGTACATGTATGTTTGCACTTGTTGAAATCTGCCAACAAATTCAGCGCGGATGTCAGTTATGCCACATTTGCTGCAAGGCAGCCACAATCGGGGGTTTGCATCTATAATCAACGCATTTAATGTTAATTTAAAAAAATCGAGATGCCCTGATATGAGTGCCGCAAGTGCCCTGGCTGCTGGCTTGTCATGTTTGCATTTCTGTCTGCTTTATCGTCAGAAAACAATATCACCATATTAACGTTCTGCTCATGCTTTTGTTTGCTTTCGATTCCATTTGCAGATGCCTCCAATTACTTTGACACCCAGGGACCGAACTTTTCACATGAGCCTCCGAGTCGCATTGAGTTCACCAACACGGCGGGGAACATTGCTGATTGTATAGCGCACGGTAATCCACCACCAAATGTCGAGTGGTTAGACAAGGAAAACAATCCTATCACTTCCATCTCAAAGGTAAGATATCCCTCATTGCCAGCATCCTCATCAGCATCATCATCATAGCATCCACTTGAAGCCATGAATACACGTAAACTCTTTGCCACAATTGCAGCCACATGCAACCCATCCCACCAGAAAGCCCATTAACTCGAAAATGATTCTGTAGTTTTAAATTTACATCGTTGCGTCTGTCGGCGTAAGTGTATGAATGCCTCAGTGACTTTAGAATGAGGTGTTTTGTATATTATTTTCCTCGTACAAATGACAAATCACACTCATTGAGAGACCCCCCATCCCCCATAGGTGCGATAATTAAATGTATCGTTCAATATAGAAGCTCTTTCAGACACATTCATTGGTGTTTTGAAAACAGTTTAATTTGTAATTATCCAGATCGTGGGACACAAATAACATTGCCACATCAAAACATGGTGCACGGAGAGCACAGGACGGAAGGTAAATCATCGACACAATCACGACGACACATAAAACAATTTCAAGTCTGAAACTTCTAACAAACTTCTCCAAAGTTGTATTAAATCCCTTACATGCAACTTTACTATACGCATTTCTATATGCATTCTCTTCAAAAAAAAAACTCTTAACGGATACTCGTGTTTTTCAACATAGATCCGTAGTGGAATTCTGTAACTCATTTTCTGTGTTACCGAAAAAAGTCGGTTAAATTCAAATTCCGATACCGAGAGATACCAATTTTGTCATCTTTTATTTCTGTTTCATATCAAAATTTTGCGTACCGATTTTTGTCGTTATCTCAATGAAATAATTTAGAGACCTAGTACTGATAGAAAAATAAGTCGAATATATAAAATTTAGATATTTCCCCTATGCACTAACAAATCGAACGGCGGCCTGATTCGAACTAATTAGAGTTTAAATTCAGTATATAGGATTGGCAAACTGCTTGCTACCGACATAGTACCAGCTCTAGATTATTATTAGAGGCAATTTAATGATAAAAATACAATACAAATCTTAAATACCGTTTTCGACAAATTTCTGGAAAAATAAATGAAAAATTTGAATTGGTACAAGATTCTTTATATCTGAGAAAATTTTCCGCATAATTTATAAAAAACAATAAGTTCGACCGGGCCGAACTTTTAAACTTCACTTTAAACTTCATATACCACTAAGACCGTTTGGATTCTGTAGTTAAACTTATTGAAAAACTCATTTTATGGTTTATGGTGAGGCCGTTATATGGAGTCGTACCAAAACGTAAACCCCTATAGACAATTTTGTACTTCAAGGATTGTCGTCAATCAAATCTTCTTAAATTCAAATTTGAAACAATTATGTGGGAAAATGTGACTAGGATTATCAAAATACCGAATATCGTTATATGTGCGAGATAGAACCCATTATGACCCACAAATACCAATTTTTAGATAAATCAGCGATATCAACCATCTTAGACAAAATACAAGTTGTTCTGCTAAATTTTGATGTTCTACGTCAAATAATGTGGGCTGTATCGTGATTTCAACAGACAGACAGACGGACAGACCGACGGTCATCGTTAAATCGACTTAGAATTTTATGCTGATTATGAATATATATACATTATGGGGTCTACGGCGAATATTTAAGGATGTTACAAACGGAATGACAAAGTTAATATACCCTCCTTTCCAAGATGGAGGGTATAAAAATCCGTCGTAAAATACCGCTCAAATGAAAACCGTATTATGGCTATACGAAGACGTGGTCCGGCATAAGTAATTATTTCGTATAGACCCAACAAAGTATATATATTCTTGATCAACGTAAAATTCTAAGACGATCTGTTGTAATCACGCTAGAGTCAAAACTAATATAGATAGGAAGCTAAAATTTTGCACAGATCAGTCTTTTGTCTGCAGGCAGGTCAAGTTCGGTACCCGCCGATATTCGGTATTTTGATGATTTTAGCCACATTTTTCAATTGAATTATTTGAAATTATACACAAGAAGTTCCTTCTAAGTACTCCTTTAAGATATTGAAATACGATATCGTATATACCCCATATTCCGATACCTCCCACACATTTTGAGTGAAATTGTCTCAAAGTCCACACAAGGAATTCGCTCTGAGTACTTGGAAGAGAATTGTCTATATAGCTCCGCGATATCGAATAGCCCCCATACAACGGTACCCGGCAATTTGCTATTTCAATAATATTAGCCACATTTTTTACCGGAATTGTTGCAAATTTAATATTTAATGTACGGTACCTCTCGATATTTGGTATTTTGATGATTTTAGCGACAATATTCACCGGAATTGTTTCAAATTTGGTATTTGAAGTTCGTAATGGATACTACAGCCTATTTGCAGAAAATTGTCTGTGCAGATCCACGACTTCGTATAGCCCCAATGTAACGGTACCTCCATATTTTGGATATTTTGATGATTTTAGCTACTTATTCACCGAATTTTTTTCGCATTTGAATATTCCAATGGCTTATGACAAAAGTTGCCTATGCAGGTCCACATCGTCGTATAGACGCTAATTTTTAACGGATTTTATTATTTTGAAAATTGCCGAATTCGTACCAAAAGGTGAAGGGTATTCAAAGTTCGGCCCTGTCGAACTTACAGTTTTTTACTTGTTAATGTTTCGTAGGATTTAAACGCGATGAATGTGTTACTCGTTTTACAGTTTTCTTAGGAATTTGTTTTCAGTGAGTCTTGGTATAAAAGGTACTCTGAAATAATTCTGGTGTTCCCTGTCCGGGAGTGGCTCTTTTTACTGTGTGTCTTTCTTAGAAACGTCGTTTATAGTTTATATTGTGTAATTATTTTTTCTTAATACCCTTCGTAATATTTCCTTATTTTCTTTATGTGGAGCCTGTTGTCACTTAACTCAAACATTTTCTTTGCCAGCCTTATTGGCGTATTTATTTCATCTTGTGAGTTTGTTTTGGGTAAAGGTTTATTATTCAGCCTTAAGACGTTGGTTTTGGATACCAGGTAGTTATAATTCGATCCTTTTCTTTGATTATTTTTATGTCGAGGGCAAAAACAATTTGGCAGTTTTGCAGAATATAGGGAGGTACAATCATATAGGGGCTATACGAACATTTTGACCGATATGGCTCATTCGAACTTGACCTGACTGTAGACAATCGACAAGTCAATGCAAAACTTTAGCTTCCTATATCATGCCGTTTGGACTCAAGCGATTAAGAATAAATACTCCGATTAAGAATATATAGTCTGTTTTGTCTTAAATGGTTATTTCGATGAGTTACAAACGGAATAACAAATTTAATATACGCTACGCTGGAGGTTTAAAAAATGTCATTCGAGGACTGAGCAAGAACAAACAACACCAAGAACGCTTCGAAAAGATGAAAGGTTTAACTTATCCATTTTTAAATGTTAAAGCCCTTTTAAATGCTTAACTGTTTTTATGTGCCAACGAGTGTCGAAAATAAGAGATTATTATTATAATTTTTTTGTAAGATGTTCTACTAAATATATTAGATATTAAAAGAATTTTTATTTGAAAAATGACAAGGCCCAGATTCGTTGCAAAAGGTTTGTCATTACTGATTTGCAAATAAGTCTTCCTTTATTGGTTTACCATATTTTGTTTACGTTAACGTTAACGTTTTATTTTAACTCAGACTTTACAGATCAATAGCCGGCTGAAAATTGTTGGCAATATCTTCACAATACCTGCTATATGGATTCTGTACAAAACAACATATTTCGCTGACAATTTTCTCTAATTAAATCCAAATTCGGAATGATAATCTTCTACCAATATTACAGCAAAACTAAACGCCGTATTGTCGATCTTGATACTTTTTCTAGTATCTAAACGATTCTTTGAAACAAAATTCATCCATTCATAATGAATATAAGACATATGTTTTAGTCCTATCTTTTAGATTATAATCTTCCTTGTCTTTCATACCCTCTAAAAGGCGTGAAACTGACAAAATATTTCGTCGGAAAAAATTGTAATCGTATGGTTGCATGAGATTACCTATCAAAGTTCCACACATCTACCAGTATTTAGAAAACCCGGTCGGTTTTAATTGTCACTTCCATTGTATATACTCCGAAAAAATTCTAACATAAACATTTCTCAAGATTCTCCCATTTGAATTAAACTTTTAATTTTTTAGCTAGTCATATATTAAATGTGAACACATGCAAGTTTAGCGTCTTAATAAGAAATGAGAAAGAACATAATCCACATCAAAAAGTTAAAAAAAATGTCGTACGGTTTTACGTACGTGTTCCGCGTTTTGATGTAGTCCCCATAGAATGATTCCGCCAATTTAAAGATGTTTTCTGATAGCCCCCATATAATGGCACCTCCCGATATTCGCTCAAATACTGGACACCTATACATATGTTTTCAAAGGTGTTGCTTTCCAAATGATGAAGGTTTTCAGAGGTTTTCAGCTCTGGATTACTTTACACACAACTGGCTTATGATTCTTAATATAATCCTTAACGCTTAATTTTTTTTAACAATTACAGGTTCGACACATCCTAGCAAATGGATCTCTTTATTTCCCTCCTTTTGAAGCGGACGAATTTCGGCAGGATGTGCATTGGTCTGTATATCGGTGCGTTGCAACCAATGCCGTGGGGTCTATAGTTTCTCGTGATGTTGTTGTTAAGGCTGGTATGTATTTGAAAATCAGCTCATCGATTACAAATTTACCCACACTCACACACACATCCACTGAACTTTTGTCAATATCTGCATTTTCATAGTTGTAAATCAACGTTATGAACCAGAAGTACAAAATCCAGGCGGCTTCATTGGCAGCAATGTTTTAATCAAATGTAACATTCCTTCATTTGTGAAGGAGTACGTAACGGTGACCTCTTGGCTACAGGAGCCAAACTTTAACATTTATCCCTCGCTAGAGGGAGGTAAGTAGCAGGCAGTCATGCCACTGTGACGTGATGCCATCCGAAGGCAAACATCGCATTTTATGGGTTGCACATGGTTGACCTTAAATTAATGGAAGCTTTCATTTTGTCCTTCCATTTTACAATCTACAAAAGATGGCAAAAATCATATGCTTCCGACCGGAGAGCTGTTGGTCTATAACATTACACGCACGGATGCCCTCAAAATTTATCGCTGCCGAACACATCACAAATTGACACAAGACTCGGTTGTAAGCAGTAATGTTGGCAAAATTCAATTGACCGGTAAGATTTTAACTTTTTCCCGAAGCCATCGACGGCTTCTTTTTCTCTGCAGGGTCAACTTTTGAGGAATCAACCGATACAAAGTTGAAATTATTTCTCGTAATTACATTCTAAAGATTCCTTTGTGTGTAAATGTGTGTGTGTGTGTTTGTTTGCTCTTTTCTACTTTGTGCCTCAAACAGAAATGCGGGAGCTGGTTCCACCGATAATGAACGAAAAAGTTGTCAGCATTACAGCAAGGATGGGCGATCCGGTGGTGGTACCATGTGTGGCTTATGCAAATCCCAAGCCGGTATATCGGTAAGTAATACGTATTGTTATTGTAGCAGAAAAAAGTGTCTTTAAATGATTTGGCAAAATTGGTGACGAACAGGAGTCAACATTTCTTCTTACGGCAATTAGAGTTGACCGGCTAGTAGTGCCAGGACGCGCTGCAACTCTACTAAATGTACTAATTGACACCGAAACTTTAGGCTTGTGGATTGCTCATTATATGCTAGATAAGTACGCCGACAAAAATACACTGCTAGACAACGTATGTAGTGTCTCGTCATCATTCTAAGGTTCGCCCTGCTTGCCACAAGACTCACAGAGAACAGTTGCCAGAGGCAACGTTTGAGTTGAGTTCTTTCCAACTGTGTTCAAGAGACATAACAGTTTAGATATCCCTTTGACAGAACATGCTTATCATCTCTAAACATTAAACCCCCTCTCCCCCTCTTCACCCCCACTCCCAGTATAAGTATCAGCATCTAGTTTAGAGTTGAAGCCTAAAAATAATTATGCAGAACGATGCCTCCTTGAAACTAAGCACAAACAGTTTTAAGTTCTGGCCATAAATATTGTGATACACTATATATGAGCAAATGTGTGTTGTAGATGTGTACGTATGTGTGTGTGTGTGTGTGTGAACGAATGTGAGAGTCAAGCGGTGCGAACGGTGTGTTTGTTTTTTCCACCCGTGACGTCCTTAACTCAACACACACTTGAGCATTCACTGTGAAATGTACCGTTTACATACAAGTACATAACGATTACACACATACATAGCAGGGCACGTGACTGTCGTGAGTGGATTTCCTCTCCAAATCATTCACTGACAGATTTAATGAGGGCCCTTGAAAGGGCTGCGAATTTAAATCTATTCTTTTTATATCAGTGACTGGTTAAGTTATTGTGATCCATTGGTTTGAGGTTGGAATGAGCACATACCTTATTTGTAATTTTGTTTGTCTGTTTTATGTAGCCAGCCTTGTGACAGATCAATAATGTGTCTTATTGAAGAAACGATTTCGAAAACCGAATGTATTTTTGGACGAAATCCGTTGAAAGACATGCCCATCCGCACCCTATTTGTCTGTCCGACTGCCTGGCACGCAAGGCAAGTCTACAAGGGAGTACAGGATGTGGTCCTAAGCCGAGACAAAAATCAAAAACCGGAATGCAACAAATTGCAAACTTTAGCGCTGCACATTTTCTCTGAACATTTCAAATTTCTATTTTTATGAGTTTGAAGAGACTTGAAGTACTCATTGCAGTACAGTCAGTTTAAAAATTAAATTACACCAAATGTTAGTTTTTTATCTATCTTTTTTAGATTGAATGCTATTGTTAATGCTATTATCAACATACCACAATTGTGGTAGAAGTAAACTCTAAGAGAACCCTTTTCATTAGCATTTTTTTCAGTTTAAGTTCTATTTACTAAGGCATTCCTTTCCACTCTCTCATTACTGAAAAAGGTGTGTAGATCAGGAAAAAAGAACGGTTTCAGCTGCATATATCTGAATTTGTGCTTCCTACTCAAGTTTTAATATTTCACTTATACTTCTAAAACACGGCAATAATAGTGAGACTTTTTTTGATAATTATTTGTAAAAGGGTTCTCTGAACCCAAAAATGTTAAATCAATTGAAAAAAATTTGGCAAGGGAGGGCTGCAATGAGTATGGAGAAAATCATACTCGGTTTCTTACATGATTTTTGTTAATGTAGTCGTTTGGTTTGATCTGAATGAAATGATCGTTTTCGCATCGGCTCGTCTCGAACATTCTGTTTGAATCACTTCACTCAAAATCAAACGTGAGTGTTCGGGAGCGTTTGATTTGTTCAAAAACATGAGTAAATCGAACACTTGAATTGAAGTGAGCAATCACAACTGTGCGTTTTTTCTATCAATCGATTTCGCTCAACGTCATTGTTTATTCAAACATTCAATCAAGGTGGCACAGTTTATTTTGACTCTTAAAACATTTGAAATGGAAGAATATTGTGATAGTGCAACCGAAAGTGTTGCAAGTAGAAACTACACATTGTGTAGGTAAACGAAAAGTTCGAAATTTAATATTTAAACATTTCTTGTTTTTTAAATAACATTCATGTGTTTCTTTATTAAAAATATCTATATCGGTATTAGTTAAAAAAAGCAAATTATTGCATAATTTTAACACTCACGAAATATGAAGTCATTGTACGAGTTTCTGCAAAGGAGACTCATCCCAATAATTTTGCTAATATTACCTCAAGTGTAGAACTTGGATTATCGATTATCCAAAGAATTCAAAAAAAAAAAAATAAATAAATAAATAAAAACAATATATTTCACAGAAAACGAAGGAGGTATTCATTTTCAACTAGCTGCATTAAAGTACTCAGGCCGAGTGGGACAATGTCTTGCCACTTCTTCTGTAAAAAGGACGAAATCTATATGTATGTGGGAAAATCAAACGTTGTTCATTGTCAATTGAATCAGTTGAGAACGATTGGACCGTTTTGGACAATTTCTTTGACTAATATTGGTCATACCCCAACTTAAGTTTGTATGGAATAACAGATCAATATATTTGCAACAGGATAGGGCGTATTAATTGTCCGATTGAGATAATTTCATTTAATTTTCTTCAAAACATTTGTTACGCCCGAGGACGAACCCTATTGGAGTTTGTGATAATCGATCCAAATTTTAATGAATTCCCCTACTCAAATTAAAATTCACTAAATATTAGCCAATTGGTGCACAATAAACTTGAAATTCTATAATGATATATATGGGCGCTATATCCAAATCTGAACCGATCTTTATAAAATTGAAAACATCTATTTCTTGGCTGTATCAGATATCTGGTACCAAATATTGTTCTTGTATCGTGAATTTTAGGAATTTGAGGGACTTAAACACCAAATCGGATGAAACACACAGGGTTGCCCATATTCGACGGACCCATCTGCTTTTGACAGAGATGTCACATCGCTTACTGACATACCGCGTTTGAAGCGTCAGTCCAAGCTGATTTTTACCATGAACCAATACACGCCACGCGAGCGCTCTGAAATAGTTGAAACTTACATTCAACAGAAGAAGTCAATTGTGAAAGCTCGACGTGCTTTTAAGACATTCAAAAATGTGAGAAGTGCGCCTTCTAAGAACACCATTAAGCGGTTATACGAAAAATTTTCGACTGGTAAGGCTCTTTCTAATCCGAAGAGGCCATATAAAAGTCGACCAAGGCGATCGGCCGAGAATATCGCTGCCGTACGAGCCAGTGTTGAGAGGTCCCCAAGAACATCCCAAAAACGCCGTTCTCAGCAGTTGGGCATGGCTCGGTCCACTTTACAACGGATTATTCGCATTGATTTGCATTTGTTCCCTGCGGACAAGCCTCGTCGATTGGAATGGGCCCAAAGAGTCATCGAAATGGCCGAAAAAAAAAACATGGGTCCGTCGAATATGGGCAACCCTGTACATATATATGGAAGCTATATTTTTAAAATTTAATGTACTTATTTCTATAATAAATTCGGTCGGAAGTGCCACCATTTGGACTAATATTAGTTATTTGGTGCAAAAGAAACCTAAAATCGAATGAAACATATGTATATATATATGGGAGCTATAGCTATATCTGAACCGATTTTCACCAAATTTGAAGTACATGCTTGAAGGCTGAATTCGATAGGAAATGTCAAAATTCACTCCATTTGGACTGATATTAGCCATGTGGGCCAAACTAGACCTGAAACCGGTCCTAGATATATATGGGAGCGATATCTAAATTTGGACCGATTTTAGCCAGTTTCAATAGGGTTTGTCCTTGAGCCATACAAATGTTATTTGGAAAATTTCATCTCAATCGAATAATAAATGCGACCTGCATTTTGTTTACAAAAATACATGGACAGACAGACGGACGGACGGACATGCATAAATCGATTCAGATATATATATATATATATATATCTTCAAATGATTTCACGTTTATTGTGGAAACATTTGTTATATCAGCCCGAATCGGATGGGTTTTGACACATCATTGAAAGAGTTTAGAAAATCAAATTAGTGCACAATACTAAGATTGAGATGGTTTCTGTTCTATATAATCAGTTGGAGTTGGACTTGAAATCTACGGGTACATTTATATTGAGGCTATGTCCAATAGGGAGCCTGCATTCATTCGGTCGGAAATTGTGCCAGACGTATAGTAGGCAGAGATCAATCGAAATAGAATTTTAAACTGAAAAAATGTATACTTTAAACGTTCCCAAGGTATATTTTGTAACGTTATAAATAGGTTATAGGCTTTCAACTGAGTTTTGAGTTTTTTACACAATTTCCGACTGAATGAGTCTCAGATTGACATTTCGGAGTTTATTTCATATAGACGTACATCCCAAATCTACGTTCCCAACCAATATTCTCTTGGGGGTTACAAATTCAATAGAATACCAAATTTTCTTTTCTGACCACACATTGGTTGGGAAAGTGGACTTGGGGGTATACTAATGTGGGGACTATACTTAAATAAATTGCTATGAGGATAATTATCTGTAAGATGATTTTCTACCCCAGGGTTTATTACCCCAGGTAGCCTCAAGACTAAGATGCGCACTTTTCCGAAAAATAAAAATTTATAAGAAGAGGTTTTCTTCCCCCTTACAAACAAAGATGTCAAATAAGGGCCAAAAAATGAAAAAAGTGACCAAGACCCCGAAAATACCTTAAATCATATGATGGTGATACCAAAACGTGATATTTTTTTGTAAAGATGGTTTCTTCTTAAATTATCAACATAAGCTAAAATTAGTACGAAAAATATGGTTAAAATGTAGAATATACTTGAAATCGGGTTGTTCCGTTATCAGGGGTTATGATCCATATCATGACCTGGCAAAGCGATTAAAGGTATCTTGAATGTTTAGGTAGAATTTCTATTTTGCGTTCTTTATAGTCGGTATTTGACTGATTGCAGTCCCAATGTATTTTGCATTTTGTGTTCTCATTTGACAATTTATTGTCATATGAAA